TGTGTAAACTTCTTTCCTCGTCATGCTACATGAAAGTGCCACCTTTATGTAAAAGGCAGGACAGCTCAGGGCATAACCGAGCTGTCTCAAGAGTTATTTTAACCTGAGTTCAGATGCACATACTGGGTGCGGCACAGCTGTGGCTTTCCTGTCTTCTCTCAGTCATGGGAATAAGAGACCAGCCAACATGTTAGAAAGAAGCTTTGGCACCCCAGTTCCCTGATCTAGGCACCTGTGTGGCTGAATCTCCATGCAGCACCTCAAAGTACAGATGCCTGTATTGTTTCAGATGTACCCTGTGTCTTCAAGACCCAGAACTTCTTAAGTTGTGGTCTGGAGACTAGCAGAAAAACTATGATTCAACAAATGCAAGACACTGAGCAGAAGCAAAGGAAAAAAGTTAAAATTCTGCAAGCACATCATCTTTCCATTGGTTCAAAAGCAATTCACAGGACCCTGGAGAATCTTGTGCTTGCAGAGCTGACCTCCTTCAGGTATGATGACACAGCATTGCAGAGTGCTGTGTAGGCAAATCTTTAGCACCAAAATGGAAATAACAGAAGGAGGAAGCAAGCTAAATAAAGGGGGATAATTTGGTGTCTGAGGTAGCATTATGCCAAGAAGTCATAAAATTTATCCAGTTACATAATCAGTAGCAAATCATGTTACTTAGGTTAATGGCTTTGAAAATAGTTTTACTAATAGAGCCTTCAAAACCTCACTAGAGAAGTTTTAGATGAAGATAATTTATACAAAATACTTCCCAATACTCCCCCTCTTTTCAACTCAGGAAGAAATACTTCAGTCGTGACTAGAAGTGGTGTGAACTGACTTCATTTCCTGCACTACTCACTGTTCATTGTTCAAATATTTTAACATGGGGATTGACACAAAAAAAAATATCCCTCTCTAGAAATAGACAAGAACCCAATATCTGGGAATAATGTTCATTTTAAAGACAGAGAAGAACATTGTGAAATCTTCTAATCTTCCCATCTAATACAAAACCTCACTTTAAACAGAATCATAGAAAATGTCCATATCTTTTGGCAAACAAATTTGTCCTAAATGCATCAGACTCAAAAGGTCCTAAGCCAAATTCTCTGTACATATAAATGGCCACTCTAATTGATTGGAGAATGTAAGTTTGACTGTCTCTAAAATTAAATCAGTTATAAAGAAATAATACCCAGTATCAGTTTACATAAACCAAACCAAGGACACAATGCAGGAAGGTCTTTTAGAGAGTCTCAGTCATCAATCTATACTTGTAAATTCCAGTGAAACAAAAAAACAAAAACCAACTTGAAGAGGATTCTCAGAAATTGTGTTTGAAATTCCTCTAAAGTAATTTCTGTTTACCAGAGGATGCAGCAGCATTCAGAAAAAGGAAAATTCATCTCCTTCCAATTTAGTGGTGGTGCTCAGTTTCCCAGTGCACTAGTGTTGTCATCCAGTCTTTTGGTAGCATGAGAGGTGTTGATGAGTTTGCTGGCCTAGGATTTATGTTTGTCTTCTCAGCAGGTAATGTATGAGACAGTCACTTCTAGATAGACCTGGCCAATACTTTCTATAGAAACATTTGTATTAATGACTTCTGAGCTCTTTCATCATACAGTGTACCCAAAAGGAGACCTGGCAGGACAGAACATTTAGATTAAATGATGTCAGTTTGAAGAGTCAGACCAAGAGGGTTGAAACCACTGCTGCCTAAACTATTACTCTTGCAGAATGATAATATCTTATTTTTAGAACATTGAAGCATGTCTCACCCTGCAGCTCAGGCAGCACTTTAATAGTTATTAATGGCAGCTGTCAGGTATGCATCTATTGACCAAGAATGAGTCACACTGGCCCTACTAGAAGGCCCAGTTAGCTAGAAATCTGTGGTGCTTTTTTTTGCTTATTTTCTTTTTCTTCTTATTTTTATTTCAGCAGCTCATTCTTCTGTATGCAGTACGATAGTGAAATATCAGAGTGTTTATCTGCAGTAGCCATTAGGACAAGCTAATGAGCTTGTTTTGGAAATACAAGCAGGTCATCACCTGTTTTGTCAGTAAATAATAATGTTAAGGAGGCAATTTCCATCCCTGTAGGTACTCACAGGTTAATTTAGAAACTACCAGCTTTTAATTAGTAGTGCAGCCAGCATACTGTGTAGCAAAATTTTGATAAAAACCTTTCAATTTGTTAGGAAGATGGAGAAATAAATTAAAAATATTATTCTCATCCAATAGTGTTTTGAAGATGTCTTACCAATATGATTGACATTAATGGTTAAAAGGTAATAACTTAAAATTCTATATCACTTTTTCTCCCCAAATTAAATTACTTTCAGACACATTTCATTTTCATCAGGCTGCAATATTTGCATAGGTTTGACAAATCAGCTGCTGTAACTGTCTTACAGTAATTAGTACAAGCATTTAATATATGCTTTCCCAGGCAAATAAGGCAACTACAAATAGTACAAAATCTGCAACAGTGCCTATGAACCTTCAGGATCAAGCAAAGTCTGCTGGTTTTTGGCAGGAAAGGTCTGCAAGGGCATGGCAACTGCACAGAAAATCCAGCCCGTCCAGCCTGCCTGTTGAACAAAGAGACAGATACAGTGTAGGTCTGCATCCTTTATTTCAGAATGCAATTAAAAATCCTGGCCCTTGCCTAAAAGGTCTGTCAGAGAGAAACTGCTCTGAAGAGATAATGACACTGACAGAGCCAAGAGGAGAGGTCTCAGGAGATCAAGCTGAAGCCCAGAGGGAGTAGACTTTTATGACTGAAGACACTCCTGCCCATGCAGGGTTTGTCTTAATATTGCTGTTTTCAGGTCACCATTTAGGCCATATAATTGCAAATGCCTTTGAAGTAATAAAATGGCATTCAAATGAGTGAGAAAAATGAAGAAAGAGAAGTGAAAATGACAGTGAAGGAAAAGAGAGAGAGAGAGGAGACAGAGAGAGAAATAAATAAATGAGGGAGTAGGAAGTCCCTTTGTCCCTAGTATTCTACTAACCTTAGCACAAATTCCCTACTAAGATGATCTGATAGATTGTACATTCCAAAATATGTTAGCAGAGACAAAAATCTGCCTGGCCCATAGACCAGCACATATTCACTTATTGTATGGTAGACAATGTCCAGTAAAGTGTAAACAAAGTGCACCAGTCTCTGGATGTGAGGATATGCTCTTCTCTCTCCTGACAAACAAGGTGATGACCTGCTCAACCTGGAATGATGAGCTCTCCTGAATGACCAGATTGACTTCTGCACCTGGCTTGTCCTCACTCCTGCACTGGCGCTGCTTGCTATTGAGCCAGCTTCTTCTCTGAACATGGTTTAAAGCAAAGCAATCTCCCTCCAGTCACTGCTTCTGCTCATTAAGCCAGAAGTCCCAAATAGGATCTACTTTTCCCACTTGAGAGCTTTGGAAAGAATAGGCAATTATATTACAGCTCTCCTGCTTGCCAGCCTTGTTTTGTCTACGTGCATGTTCCAGTCCATTTGTTTTAGCTAGCCAGATGTTTTGTTCTAGCTCTCTGGAAGTTTCTTAGTATTCCACATCCAGAAATATGGCTGCTGTGTGCACTTCTGGCCTCTGCCCCCTTTTTCTTCAATATTATGACAGTTAATATGAAAAGTAGTGCTTCCACCTTGGAACAGTCTTTGATGAATTACTAGTAATAACCCAACATTTAATCCCAAAAATTGAGCTACCTGTCAAGTTTGTCTGCAAAGCAATTTCTTTAATTTCCATTGATAGTCCTCTTCTAACAGGGTGATCTCCCCCAGATCAATATCAGCTTAGATATGATTTGGCTTTGTGATCTCTAGGGGCATTAGCTTGTTCACTTGCTGTGCCCAGGATATTTCATCTTGTTCTAAGGTTTCAGCTGAACACAAAGCATCAACAAACTGTCCAAGGTAGGTGTTTTTACTGGCTTGCCTCTGGAGCTGCATCCTGGATGGCAGCTGTGGAACATCGGCACACAATCCTAATTTCAATAATTTGTCTTTCCAATGAGTCCGTGGTGTGCCATTCTTATATTTTCCAGAAAAAGTCCCTTGTCCTTGGTACATTGCTAGGTCATGCATTCTTCCTGCCATGCTGTGATTCAATTATCTTTTCCCAGGAATTCGTGTTTAGAAAATTTCTCCTTTAAGCAAAGATGTGTCTGAAATGCTTTGGTAAATGAGAGAATAAAAGGCATTCCTTACCTCTTCATTGTGTGGGATGGTCTTCTGGTTTGTCACAAAGCTCTGTACAGATCATCTGCTTATAAATTCAAGAGGAAATGTTCGTTTTCCTTTTGTAAATATCATTTTTTCAAAGTAGGAGAGTTTCTCCACAACAGCTGCTACAGACTTTGGAGTTCTTAATTGAGATAAATAGAAGATGTATTTTTTTTCTTAGGTTTTTGAAAGCTTGAATGAGTTTTTGTGCATTCAATATTCTTTCAGTTTCCTTTATTTCATTTGTGACTTAAGGATAGGTAGCTGCTCCTGGTATTATTAATTTATATTGTCAGGTTTTTGGGCCACTTACTTTTTATGTTTTGTAACAGTCTCCACTATGGGCACATAGGTCTGATCCTCTTAGCAAGAATATATCTGAGGTACCTTGTGACAGTTTCAAAGAGTGGGGTTGCAGAATTTCCTAGACAATGGTAATTAAGCACTTATTTCTTACTGGAATTAAAAATTCCTGATTTCTTACTTCCACGGAGAGAATCAAGAAAAAAAATCTAAAAAATCAGGACATCAAATTTCAGGAAAAGCCAGTTTTTTTTTTTACCACAATCCTGGTAAAACTCCAGAAAGAAGATGCATATTTCAGTATAATGCCTACAGATAAGTAAACATGGAGAGAGTGAAAGAATATGCTTCATTACAAGAGAATTTGATTACAAATTATCTTTAAAATTTAAAACATAAGAACACCTTTAGCTTCAAAGCTGAAAGAAGGTAAAAGTTCTTTCCCATAACATTTTATTTTTCAGATCCTTTCATGACAATATTTGATTTTCCAGATCCTCTTTTCATTCCAGAGTTGAACCTTTGTGGTTGATTTATGGAGGCAGAATTGGGCTGGACTATCCTGTAATCCAAATGTGTACTTCAAAGACATCTGGAAAATACATATGAAACTTGAAAACCTTTTGTCTTGTCAGTTTTTAAAGTGATTAGAATGTCAAGTAAATTCTGATGACCTTGGCTGGAAGCCTTTGCCTCCTTCCTTTAGGGCTGAGCATCTCCAGCTTCTCTCTGAAATGGACAGAATGAAGGTAAAGCCTCAACTTACAATGACAGAAGCACTAAAAATGTGAGACAGTTGCTCTGGTAATTTCTGAGTTGAGAATCTATACTAAAAAATTTCCTGTTAAAAGCATCCTTTTCAACACTTACACTGTTATTCTGTGAATTGTTTTGGCCTCAATTCAGTGAAATCTCATGAAAAATGCTTCAATCAGTTCTTTTCAGGAGCATTATGATGTAGTCTTTAATTATAAATGTTCATTTTCCTGTTCCACATAGTCCCAGAACATATTGAAATGACTTGTATTTTATTCATATTTTTATTGTTAGAATGTTTTCCAGGCTGAAAAGCACCTTTTAAAGAAAAATAAAACAAATAAGGAGAAATGGCTGCTCTTTGTTTAATGCATTTTACATAATAATGGTTAGTATCTTTCAAAATAAAATACTGGCATTTTTCACACACACGGAATTACAGGAAAGTTGCAGGGTAACGGTGTATAGGTTCAAATTTTTTAGGTAAAATAAAATCTACCCTTTTCCTTTTGTTTTTACAGGTAGAGGAGGACAGTAAATCAAAAACAATGTTTGATGATTAAAAATGTTTCTAGCAGCATCTCCATTAATCTGAAAGCCATTGGATTTTTACTTTGTTGTAAGTATTTTTGTTGTGATTTCATATATATCAATAGTTATCCTTTGAGTATTATAGGAAGCATTAGTGAACTCTGTATTGTGCACATAAACATGCATATGAGAACATCTGTATACATCTGCCATAGTTAGGATAATATTAATCTTTGTGCTCACCTACATTTGTTCTTACACATTTATAACATATATGAATACTTCGAATCTGCCCTGTATACACACACTACAGTGAGAGTGTAGCCTTGCAAACTCAGTAGACAAGATAGCTCATAGCACATGCGTGCAACCATGGGGAAAATGGCCTACGAGACCTGGTGAGATCATCATGAAATACAAGACAAATAGGATCCAGATTCTGACTACCCCAGTGTTTGACTACTTTCTGCAGTAGCAATGTATTTTTCCATTTATAATAGAAAAGGAAAGGGATAAAACTGAGAAAGGATTCCAGAATGGATAAAACAGAAAGAAGACTCTTTAAAAGACCCTGAGAAAAGGATGTCTTTCCTCTTCTTCGTTGCTCTTTACTGTCAGAAAAACACTATTTCATTAATTATTTCATGCTGATCTTCCCTGTAAACTCTTATGTTGTTTTTCATGCTCTGAGTGATGCACTTTCAGTCTGGGACCAGTGATCCCTTTGAACTCACTTGAAATAAGAGATGACAAATGGAGAAACAGATTTTAATCTTGGCATCTTGGCAGTAGATGGTGATGAGTATTCAAAACTGAAAGATGAACTGTGAAAATGAGAATTGTGTTTTCTTTTGTCTGGAGCTCCTTGGTTCCCAAATTATTCACATTCTGATTCATCATCTTCCTCCTTTTGTTTAATTTTATTCTGACTGCCTGAATCCAGTGGGAAAGAGAAAGAACACCTTTAAAACTTTTCATCTTTGATTAATTTTAACTTGAATGGGGTACAAAGGATGAGGCAGTTTTCCCAGGTGCCCTCATTTTTCATTTTTTTCCTGGGAGCAAAGACACACTGATAACAGCTAGGCAATTTTTTTAGAATGAAAAAGGCAGGTGTTGTGTATGAGCTGATGTTCTCTGTGAGAGTGGTCATCAGTGTCATGAAATCATTCTCTTGAAAGCTCTTGATCCTGCTGAAAGTTTGACTTATATTAATGCATTCTTGAAAATACTCAAAAAGACTTGTGTTCCAAATGTTTCTTAAGGAAAGAAAGATAGATCTGCTCAAAACCAACCGTGCCACACTATCCACATGCTCTCTAACTATGGTTTCCACTTTCCTTGAACTAACCATTTCTACCATTATTTTGTCAACACATTCACTTCAGGAATTCTAAAATCTGGGTCCTTTGAAGTGTGACTTACTGCCTTCTTATCAGGCATAGAGAAGAGCAAAATGGTAACAACCATCTGCATAATTTTTTTTTGTCTTGTTCATTCCAAAATCTGGTTAAAAAACTTCCCCAATTAAACCATACCTTCAATGGTTTATCTCTGCTTCTTAGCAAAGCAATATCTCTGTAGACCATTTTCCTTGCACTTTTGAAAAATCAGTAATTATCTTACTTTTATATGTATGTGTGTTTACAAATGTATCCTGTGCACCCTGTGCTCTAACTATCTTTTCATGTTCATCTCTAACTGCTCTCTATGGAATATTTTGGATATATTCTGCAAAAGGTTGCCATCTGTCTTGTCAGAAAAAAGGTTTTTGAAGTAGATAATGCCATTGGTAGATATTGTTACTTGTCTTTTGGGACAAAACAGGATTGTGGGAAGGAATACACAGAGAAGTAATGCAAATAAACCTGTTAATTCCGAAGGTTTATGATCAGTTTGATCTATACAGTTTCAATTTTTTTCTCACTTGCATATTTACTTCCATCTTTGAAATACTCTAAATTCCTATCCATATTAACCCTTTTGCTTATTGGTACAAAATTCAAGGTCATTTAAGACAAAAGGGGAACAGTGAAATATCTAGCTAAGTGTCCCCCCATTTCTTCTTCAAGGCTTCCTTGTCCACAGCATGGTTCATCCATCCATTCCCTATGATATGTCACCTAGTGAACAGCAGCACTTTCCCCACAAGGGGAGAAATAAAATTTGTCTCTGTTTTCTTCAGAAGTCCATGGGGCATTTTTAACACTCACCATGTCTGACAGCCAGGAACCTGCTTTGTGAGTGGCTGCATGCATCTTGCTCTGCTGTTCTCCATTGTCTTGAAATGACCTGCGCAAGAGTTTAACACCAGGCAGACAGAGACTTGAGCAAGAATTGTCTGTACATCTTGTCCCACAGGTGGCTTTGTGCTGACCCTCTACAAAGACTTGATGGTAAAAGAAACAATCCAACACCTTTGGTGTTAGGCAGCAGGCAAGTACAACCACGGAAAAGGAAAAGGAGCTTAAAGCAGAGATCTAAAAGACTTATGTCTACACTTAGAGGCAGTCAGTCTGCCAACATTTCCTTCAACATTCCCAGAGAGAAATAACCACTTCTAAAGTACTATTAATATGAATGTAAGCTCAGATCACCTGTAAGACTGATCACCTTCTTGAGTTCCCTGTGTCTTCTTATTGAAGGTGATTGACTTGGCCTTAAATAGCCATCTGCCAATGTATAAGTGAAGGAAGATCACCCTAGCACACACAGCCTGGAGGTAACAGTACCTATACGCCCTGTCTATTTTACAAAGTGGACTTACCTATAGTAAAAGGAGGGATTCAAGGTTTTGCCCTAAATTCTTGCAGGACTTGTGCTTTGGGAGCTCTGTAAAAGCAAGCACAATTAAACTATTACAAGTGACCTTCCTGTACATAAGCTGAGCTGTAGAATTTCTACAGGGTGACATGTTTTATACACTCAGTGTTTTATATGACCAAATATAGTACATAGTAAATTTAATAAAATAACATACATAGTATCAGGTTTAACACATTTAAAATTTTGTAAGCTGTGGATTTGGGTATTATGTGATGTTAAAAGTTGTGACAAATCCAAGAAAATAGTTATTAGGAAAAGGCAAAGAGAAAGCATGTGGGAAAAACCTAAGCCAGTGTTCATTCAGATTTCATGTTTATATTTTGTTTGGCACGTTCTTTGCTGCAGTATACTAGTGCATGACAGATATTTTACAGGAAACTGAAAAAATTACATATCTTTTTTTGGATATCTAACTACAAATTTTTTGCTGCATCTTCTCTCATGGCAAATTTAGACAGTTCTGTTATGAGGATGTCCATCATGTTAACCTTGGTCCTCCCAAATCTCTGCCCTTCATCACATTCATCAAGTTCTGCCTGTTCCAGTACTGCATGTTTCAGTGTCCAAGGTTCCCCATTAGTACATGTATTGGAGAGAATACAAGAGGCAAACATCTCAAGATCATTAATGCACATGATATTTACTGCAGCTAAATGAAAACAATCTCTCAACTGTAAGAAGATGGACTGAATGTTTCTTTTTCCAATATTTTGTATGCTCTCCTGAGCATGAGACATGTTTAAAAGTTCTCCCCTTGAAACAAAGAACTACTGGTTGCTGACCTATGCACTGCAGATCACCAGGACTTTTCACTGAAAAGTTTAGAACTGGGAAACTGATTTTCTTCTCACTTACCAGCACATCAGAATGTTTTGGCCTTATGAAAAACATGTCAATTAAGTCAACAGCTTTTCTTAAGAATTTGAGTGCATAGTTAAGCAGATTGTAAGGCTGATTTGACAAGTGGAAGTACTAACATCAGTTTATTTTTTCTTCACTTGAATAAAATTCATGGGAAATTTTATGCATAACCTGTTCAAATCCAGTGGGAAAAGAAATTTCTCCATGGCTTCATATTTGTACATCTAACTCACCACTACATACTTCAGTTTTAAATTTTAAAAGTCACCCATTTTCTTTTAGTGCAGTATTTTCTGCCAGTGCATCAAAGCCTATAGATTTTAATAATTATGCACTTAATATGTGTTGCAGCTCCAAAACCTATCCCAGTATCTTGTTCTTTGGTCTTCCAAAACTGCCTTTAAAATCAGTGCCAACTTCTCTACAAATTCTGTGCTCTCAAACCATTTTGTGTCGCTTTTTTTGGTAAGTCTAATTTTAAGTCTTATGGTCTTTGATGGATGTACAAATTCATTTAATCAGTCAGTTATCCTGCAATATAGGAATCTGAGTCATATGCTCTCCACCAGCCTTTGCTTGGTTAAACACCAGATGGATGGAACAGCTGTATAAATCTTTAATCTTTGTGACAGTCTTTCTTTCATTTATTTTTTGACTTATGTGGTTAGTTTCACTTGTGTGTTCTTCCAGTTAGGGAGTTAAGCGATCCCTGTCATTCAGATCTATTTAACACACTTTGTCTTCAGCTTAGGAAATTTTACTTTTACATTGATTTTTCAATTTATACATTAACTACTTAGCCTGCATTTGAAGTAATAGTGATGTCATTGACATTTCTGTTCATTATCTATTAATCTATAAATGTTAGTTATATAATTAAAATCACACATTATCATGACAGTTTGTAGTTCAGTCTCTTCCTTTGTAAAAGTACTTTCTTGGAAGATAAACCTCAAAACTATTAATTCTCTAATCAATTCTGCTTTTTTCCACACCATTCTGGTTTGCAGTTGCACTATTTTTGTAATCTCACTATATTGACAAAACAATGTAAATCTAAACTGAGACAGTGGCAGAACTATCTGTTGAAATGTACAGCTTTTGAAAGGGCTAAACTTAGCTTTTTAATAGGTTACTGTAATCTATGGATATAAATTTTGAAACACATTTGAGCTTTCTATAGAAGAATAAAATAATATTTTGTTACCATGATTAAAGGAGATGATTATAAGAAAGCATGCATGGTACTTAACACTAAGGAGAATTCCTAACAGGTTTAAAGACACACCTAATGCATTTTGTCTCTGTGATCCAAAGACTGCAACGTGGGAAATTTTGTGCAAAGGCAGAGAACCATTTAATGCATTTGAATATTGATAAGACATAGGAAGAGGGTGGAAGGTCCTTTAACCATGCAGCTTAAATAGTCAATAGAAAAATTACCCTGTAATAATGAATTTGGGGCTTTTTAAGGATAAAAGTATATTCAGATTATTGGTCTGGTTAGAATAGAATAAAGACTAATTTTCTTGTTTCCCCCACCAAAGAATGTCTTGTTTTGTCCAGGATATGTCTTGTTTTGTCCAGGATTAGACTAACACTGTAATCATCTTTCTACTTAAGCAGAAGAGGAATGGGAGGCAAGTAGTGAATATCAATGCTGATTTAGGAAAGGCTGTTGTGGCATCATCATTCTTTAGAGTGCACCAGCAATACTTGGGCTAATTTTGCCACTCCACGTAGTAATGTAATTTCAAGTTCAAAAAAGATTCTTTTCTGGGTCATCCAGGCCACAACATGAAAATCCTGATATTTTGCAATCAGAAAAGCAATCAGAAAAGACATTTGCATAGGGAAAAGAGTGGGAATAAATGGTGATAGTAAAATCAAAACTTTCATAACTGTTATGAAAAACATGCTTCTAGAATATAATAAATCAATCTAAAGCCCCAGGATACCACTAGAGATGCTGAGAGGACAATGAGACTCAACAAGCTATCTCATGACACTGAAATTCTTTAATGCTACTAGGTCCTAAGAGATGCTTGAAATAATTTCATCCTTTACATTTGATCTGGTGTGTTAAAAGCCTGTGGAATAGGATAGGAGTTGAGGACATATATTCATAACTAGCTCTCTTCTGCATGTGAATAATACACTTCCTAAGTGACAAAAGTGAGTGCAGTTGTAAGGACACGTGAGGTTTCTCCCTTCACCTTGGTGTTTCACAGATATGATTTATAACAACCTCATCATTTCAAGGCTGGAAGTTGACTGAATTCATGCTTCCTTCTTAATGGCTTTTCAGCCCTGTGTGCTTTTGTTGTCACGTCTCATATTCAAACATGGGAGCTTTTATCAAAGTGAAAGGCATCAGAGTGACCACAGTGTAAAGTAATTTTGTTCAGAGAAGAGATTCTTGGTGATTTCTTCTCTGCAAGGTGGCCCAAAATACAGAGTGGTTCATATCCCTGTATAGAAATACAATCTCACATAACCAATGCTTTGATGTGTTTGATGTGTTTCGACCATTTCTGAAGTATTTCTAAGCATATTAGTATGATATATGAATGCATTCTCAATATAGGGAAATAACCTTGAACTTCAACTATATTACTGGAAGAAAGGTTCTATTCTTCATTCCAAAGAGGTGTATAGGAGTATTTAATGTAAGGAACATTTCTCATTTCAGCTCTATGGAAATGTAAATTGCCTATACCTGTATAGAAACCCCCCTTTGAACTTCCAGCTTGCTATCAATACTTATTTTGCTTTTGCATGTCCCTTGTTTATTTTTCTCTGCATCTGCATGCAAAAAATTCCTTTCTATCAATATCAGTTACCCACATACAGCCAGAAGAGATTGGATCTCACCCCATTACAGTAACATTTTTCAAACTGTTATAGCTATGAGGTGAAATCTTATTTATTTTATGGCCACAAATTCCAACAAGGAACAGGAATAATTTCCTCTTCATGGAAAGAATTTCTAAGCCTCTGAGACAACCAACACTGTCTTTTCCAAGGAAGGTAGCTTAAAAATTCTTAAAGAACTTTACTTAAAAGAGGTTTAACTGTCTTAAAATTGAATATATTGTTCATAATAGACATCAACATGTCTGGTCTTCTGTTGCTATGGAACTAGGAAGAAACTGAAATGTCTCCCTTTACTTGATTTCACTGGTGTAAGACAGACAGTAACATATAGGAGCACACATTCTGCATTAAGATTTTTAGAACTTTCCTCATATTTTATTTGTGTGGTTTGAACTGACTACTGCTGTCCTGTCATTCTAAAATACATAGAATGACAATTAAATATTTCATAAGATTTAGGTAATCCTCATTAAGCAAGACAGACTTCTGTACTTCTACTCCATATAGAAAGATGCACTTGATATTCACTAATACTTTCTCTGCATATTTTCTGCTTTTAAATCTGATAACTCTTGAAACCACAATGAAAGAATAAACATTAAATATATTATTAATAATCCCATTGTGATTATCTTTGGACAACATAATTTATACAGTAAT